GTAAGTAAGGTTAATAGTCGGTTATAATTAGGATAACCTCACTTAGGGGACTTAAAACCCCAGTTATAACCTACTTACCAAGTCCCATGATCCTTCATGTAGAGTCACCAGGTACTATCATAGGGATCCTTAGGGGTGTAGGGGGGAGGGGTGTAGGGGACTATATTTCCTTAAATAGGCCTTATTAGTCCTTATTATGGGCCTTAAGGCCCCCTACCCCCCCTCCCCCTACACCCCTAAGGATCCCTATGATACTAAGTTTAGAATTTCTGGGGCTTCATTGTTCAGCATCTAGGGTCTTAGGGTTTCCTAGGGTCTTAGGGTTTTCGCCAAGCCCCCAAAAAATCTCAGCAGTTCACAGACTCAGCGTAGGAAAAGCTTTGGGAGTTATAAGGTTTATGGACAAGGGATGAGGGTAAGGGTGAAGGGGTCGAGGGTTGAAGAATCATAAACTCCTAAGGCTAGCGGAAGCATGGTTGAGAAGCCGCGCAGTGTTTGGTGAACCAGCGCCTTAGTGTTCGGGCCAATACCTTAAAATACCATAACCTGCTTAATAGTAGGTTCGTACTGTACAACCTACTCACAATGAGTTTAAAGGGTTATGAAGACCCTACAGAAACAGTAGCTGGTTGGTGAAGGTATGCTTGTGATTCAAACAACGATATGACTAAACCCTAAACCCTAAACCCTAAACCCTAAACCCTAAACCCTAAACCCTAAACCCTAAACCCTAAACCCTAAACCCTAAACCATTATGAAGCCAAGTCCACATGAACCGGCGACCCAAAGAACCCGGCTCAGCACTTCCGCCGTGACAGACGCCACGCGTTTGGCTGCTCGAAGCGGTTGTAGAGAGGCCTAAAGGCGGAGGAAGGTTGTTGGCTCAGCTTTAGGGCTTTAGGGTTTGGGTAAGGGCTTGAAAGGATCATGGTTTCGTTCGTGCTGAGGAGCTTCTTCAAGTCGGGTTTTTATCGTGAGGGACTGAATATGGTCAGAATCGGGGCCGAATACAGCCATCATGAAGGCGTAACACCAGCTTAAGACGGGCTTCATACAGCCATAATGAGGTCTTGATAAGGGCATCAAGAAGGCCCCAATAAGGGCTTAGTATGGCGAGAATAAGGGCTTCAACCCCAAACCCTAAACCCTTAATTAGGTTGAGGGCAGCACATCAGTTCCTGTCGGCTTCGGCAGCTTGTGGTTTATGAGGAATCATGGGACATGGTAAAAGGTGCCGCCAAGGGTTCCTTAAAGGGCTCCGTAAAGGGCTCTACGATGAAACTATAGGGTTTACTGTTGAGTTTGGGCTCCGGGGTCTACTTGGAGGGTCATGAGGCATAGAAAGTCAGGCTGTAAGCATGTCAATTGGGGTTTAGGGCCGTTTAGGGTTTAGTTGCCCTCATAATATCACCCTGGTTACTAAATCCCATCCTCTAAGGTAGGGCTACGGAATCACTGTTCGGTTTAGGGTTTCGGGCTTAGGGCGGATTCCTTATAGGTTCACAATGTGTTGGTCGTTGATCATCTTTCCGTATCACAACACCGGAAACGATAGAACCTGAAAGGTGGAAACAGCGTATGCCGGCACTGTGAGAAACATCTGGCAGAGAAAACTATCTTGTGCCAAAAACCCTAATTAAACCCCCTAACCCCAAACGTCTAATCAATCTAAAACCGCCTGAAAGGTTCGTCGACCGAAAAACCGTGCTGAAATTCTGAAACCATGTTCAAACCTCCTGTCGATCTGCAAAGCTCCGAGGGAACTCAAGAACGAAAGCTCCCCACGCCCTCACCCCGAAATCCTCAATCCTCGAACCCAAAAAGCCACGCAATTGCAGCAAAGGAGCTCGATACGTTCGCGCATCTTCCTGTGCAAAGTCTGCAGGAGTTCCGAGCTCACAACCGCATCTTTAGCTCTAACTCTGAGTAAGAGACTTCAGGAAGAGAAGGGCTTAGGGATTAGGGTGTAGGGTTGAGGGTTTACGGTTTAGGGATTGGGATTTCGGGTGTTTAGCTTTAAACGGCTTGCCAGGACAAGCCTGGACCCTGAGATTCAGGGATACTCCCCGCTGTTCTTCAGGGCTGAATGGTAAAGGTTAGACTCTTAACTCTGAGCCCTACACTACTAGAGTAGGGTTACTTAAAGGCTCATGGGACTTAGTAAGTAAGGTTATAAGTAGGTTATAATTAGGATAACTCTACTTAGGGGACTTATAACCCCAATTATAACCTACTTACGAAGTCCCATGATCCTTGAAGCAGCCTAAACTACCCCTTATAGAACCCCTATATAGATCCCTTAAAGGAGCCCTTTAAAGGAACCTACTTACTAAGTCCCATGGTCCTTTAAGTAGATTTACCCGTGACACAGAAACCCGGTCTCCGACACCCTGCAAGCCCGAAACCTGGTTTAGGGCTTAGGGTTTCTATAGTGAACTTAGAACTCTAGCACAAATGATAATTTTAGCTGTTTCTTAGGGATTATAATAACCAAAACTTAAAAATATTTCTAAGTGCCCCTAAGTTTAGTGCACCTGGAACCCGGCATGCCCTCAACCGTACACACCAAACAAGCCCAAAAAAAACAATTATTAAAGCCTACACCTTGCGAACCCAGAGCCCGGTCAACCTCACAAGAGCACCAAAGAAAGACTCCTGAGAAAGCGCTGTGAGATCGCTTTGATGGCAGATCTGAGGGTCTGTAAGGGTTACTACAAGGGATCTATAAGGGTACCATAATAATGTAGAAGCCCTCAGACAACCTATATTATGAAAACTTTATCGACTCCACAGTTCCTGAATATCTAGAAGCCCTGTAGAGGCCTTGAGCCTTTCAGGGGCTCCTTAGAGAGGAACCCTAAAGGAACCCTTGCAGGGACCCCGAAATGAAGGAACCTTGACAGGTCTTGCCAGGCAGCCTGAAACAAAAACCTTTACAGTAAACCCCAGAAAGTTGGAAACCGGATTAAGGCCAAATAGAGCCGGGATTCCCTATACATTACTCTTAAGGATTGAGGCTATTGGGTTTCCAACTTTTGGGCTTCTACTGTAAAGGAACCAGAAAAACCCTAAACCCTAAATCCTAAACCCTAAAACCTAGAGGAACCTGAAAAGAAATCTTGAACAGGATCCTTTCAACCCATGGCTGCCTCTTCGACAACTTCGTTGGGTCTGCCCTCTGGAAGAGGTTCGGCGCCAACTCTGGCAGCCAGTGCGGCTCGATCTCAGCATGGTATCTCAACTTTTTGGGGATGTGGAACTTGAGGTGTTGTGTCTTGTTCTGGTGGTTGAGGGTCCTCTCAAAATTTGAGGCCTCGGGGGGTGCTTAGGGTTTGAAGGTGTTGTGGTGTGGGGAATTTACATTACGGCTTTGGAATTTCGGGATTTAGGCTGTTGACATTTAGGGCTTAGGGTTGGTATGAGGATCCTATTGCCCAGGGTCTACATTAGGATCCTCTAACTCTAACTAGGTTCCTGAGTAATCCCTTTATAATAAGGCTACCCTTTTTCCTACTATTCTGTTTTAATAAAGAAACCTCTAACAAAAAGGGCAAAAGGGTACTACTCAGGGACCTAGCTTACCTTCCAGCTTGGCATGATGGGTTGCGTCTCGAAGGATTTCGAATGGCATGGAAGGCTCGTCGTTCATTGAGATAGGTTATTATCAGAGCAGCCATTCCTCCAGTCCTTCTGCAGGTACACTACGCAACAACATTCCCTAAGCCCCTCGTCCCGGTACGAATCCGCTGAACATGCGTGTAGCGTATCAGTATAATCTTTCAAGTCGAGCGAGGTCCTTCTATAGAAACCTTTGTCTAGTCTGATTTTGCAGCCGTGTGAAAAAACCCTACTATGACGAAAAGCTTTGTAAAATCGCGGTCCCCAGAAGCGTCAAGACCCCAATCCCTAAACACACAACCCGGCAGTCGCAAAAACGTCATTGCTCTCATGAAATTTCTGGAAATAGACGTGCTCGATAAAGCAATGCGCGAGCTTTGTGCTGAATTTGCCCGTCTTCCCAGTCGCCCATGGACACTTACTCTCTGGAAGGCACGCGACAACGGCAATTCTGCATGGGTCCGCTTTCTTCAATGCGGATGTCCGGGCGATCGCGCTTTCTCGGAGTCAGCTTTCTCGGAGTCAAGCAGGCATTTGATCCATAACACCACAAAGCCCGATCCACATCTCCAAAATAGGGTCAGCTCTTGAGAGTACTTGTCAAAGACCTCAATCATCTGCTAGGATACCCAGTAACCTAAGAATAAAAAGGCCTCTCTTTTTGGTATTGGGCAACTTTATAAGGAACCTAGGACTACAAAAAGGGAATAAGGGTACTACTGGAGATCCTAGTCTGTCCTGTCTGCGGTATCAATGGCAGCCCGAGGACCATCACGAGTTGTGGACCGAGCGTACCTCGTGCCTCTCCTGTGGGCGTTGTCCAAGTGGACAGATATGGGTGGTTGTCAAAATTAGGGTCCCTTTTTGGGTCCTTATTATAATACGGCACCTAATGTTTTGTTGGTACCCAAAAAGGGACCATAATTTTGACAACCACCCATACGTTCTTGGTGATCTCTGGCGTCCAGTAATTTGGCCGCCAGGGTTCAGCACAGTTTTGGCTTAGGAACTTCCTGAATCCCATATATTCCACCTTTTGGCCTTTTGGGATCCTTATCATGACTTACTTCCTTGTCCAGGTCCTGGCACAGGCGATTTTTTCGTGAGATTGGCGGCTCGGCCAAAAATTTTTGATGTTCGAACCAGGGGTTAGGGTTTCCGCACCAGAACTTTCAGCTGAGTCCGAAACCCCAGCTCTTATCAATCGGGGGGGCCCTGAAATTTGGGTTGGTACCTCAACGCGATGCGATGAAGACTGAATCTGAGTTGCCTTGCGTTTCTTCTCGAACCCTCTATCTTAAACCCTACAAACCCTAACTCCCTAAACCCTGGACTAATTACGTTTCCGGTGTTTTCGATTTTGCAGACACGGATGCTTTTTCTCAGCCCATGGCCGTGGAGCATTCTCGCAGGTACTCCTTGCTAGTGAGGACCTCAGCACAGCTCGTGCGGGATTCGATCATCATTTCTGCGGGCTAAGGACTTCAGAGCGCTTTGGAGCCAGGATTCAGTATGAAGGTGCGGACCCTAGATCCCTAAACCCTAAACCCCTAAACGTAGGGTTTTGTCTGTAGGGTTTCGATGCTGAGTGGTCTGGGCTGGTGGAGCTCTCGTGCTGCAGGGTTCCAGGGCTTAAGGGCGTGATGGAGGTTTCCTTGGGACATGAGCTTGTTAGGTGGCTCTTGGGTTTCAACTTTTTACACAGACTCCATCGCAAGCCGACATTCCGTGCACCCATCTTGTTTACAGGCTCGACAAGTTGCAAGGCCCCCAGACTTTATCCAGCAAAGTTTTTTAAATGATAAAAGCTGGGATCCTGAACGGACAGACTCTTACTTGAGTGATGTTGTTGCAGTCTCTGGGCGTGCGACCTGGGGCGCCTTGGGATTGGGTCGTCGTTGATGTATTTCGGGGTCGGAGAATGTCGGAGATCAAGGTGTAGGGTTTACCTTTACTGTATTGGGCTCCTCATTATGAGTCTAGTATAATGGGCCCCAAAACCCTATTCTAATTATTAAGGCCCCTAAAGTACTCTAAATCCTAAACTGACTGTGAACCCTCAGTCAACTCTAAACCCCAACCCATAAAGTCCCTGAAGCTTAAACCCTAAAGCCTGAGACCACTGGGTGCCAGGACCAGCTCATGGTACACGATCCACTCGGGATTCCGCTGGTAGAGGGACGACGCCGGGTGGATATACACCTTCAACGTTTAGGTTGGCTGAAGGTTCAGGGTTTAGGGGTGTACGGTTCAAGGTTTCTCTCTCTTTTGGGGATTTCAGAAATGGAATATCACGGCTGGGGGCTCTTGGGCTAAGGGTATTGGATCAAGAACTAAGGTGAACCAAAATCTCACCCCTTAAAGCAAACACCCGAAAGCGATCGAGCATCCCAGGTGCTGCACGTACTCATTCGTAGCTCTGGCTACAGATAAGGCAGCTTTTACTTGGAATTACTTAGAAGCCCAACGAACGTAATTCTGACCTTACTATCCTCCAAGTGGACCCTAAACCATCAACCCTAAGTCCCGATTGATCCCTTATAGAACCCCTTTACTGAGCCCCAGCCCTAGTTACTGAGTCCCATGATCGCCCAATCCTCGTGCACTGCGTTCCTTTGAAGAAGTCTTTTGGGTTTAGGGTTTAGTGTTAAAGGGATCTAAGAAGTACAGTATAGGGTTTGGGTTCGCTTACGGGGTAAAGGCGAGCGTATGCTTTTTGCCCCGGTAGAGTCCGATGATATGCAGGGCTTTGTATTTACCATGATGAGGCTCCTAGTCTAGGATTCGGACTTTAGCATTTAAGGTAAGGTTTCCCGGAGTCGAGTTTATCACAGAGAGTATGGCTTTAGGCTTCCGGCATTAGGGAGCAGAGCTGGAAAAGTAAGGTTGAGGAGGACGTTGGAAGTTAGAGGCTGGAGTCGAACCGAGCCTGGTTGTGGTCCGTCAAGGTCCGGTACCCTTCTTGTGGATCCCGTCCTTACTGCCACATGGCTTAATTAAAGGATCTTACAAGTTTAGGGATCAGTGCTGAGGCGCCTTGAAGGGCTCTTCGAAGAATTTTCCGGGGCTCTTGGTGGGAGAGCTCTTCATGGAATTTCTCAGGCGGGGCGTTTGAGTGCGAACTTTTCCGTTTCTGTGCTGAGCTTTTACAACCCTGCAGAAACCTGGGAGTTGTTGCAGGTTCTGTTCTGTTGCCAGTACTGGGTAATGTAGGGGCCTTAATAATTAGAATAGGGTTTTGGGGCCCCTGATACTATAATTATAATAAGGAACCCTAACCATAATATTGGTAATTATTTAGGCTTCTACAGTACTTTAATCTGGTATGGTTTCCTCTGTGTTCGACGACCCGAGTTGGGTTTGCTCGCTTTGGCCAAAAAACACGCTTGAAGCAGAAACCAATCCCTCTAGAACCCCAAACTGCGCTCTCCCAGCCCACCAACTCAACCCGGAAGCCAAAATCCAAATCCTGAGTCGTGCAAACCGTGTAACCCCAGCTTTGCAAAACCCCCAAGCTGGACCCAAACTCAATGAGAACTCAGGTTAAACGCAGGTTCAAGACTGAGTTGTTCGAACCAGTAATGAGTAAACTCGCAAACTCAGAAGGTTCAAGGGCGTAGAGTTGACGCCAAGACAGGCCAAGCGAACCCATTTGAGTTGATGGTGTTCCGTTGGTGTGCGTTCTCGGCTCCTTATCACAGAGTTCCGCAGCCTGTTGTTTGACGAGTCTGGCACGGCATCCGAATCTGACAAAGAAACTATGCTTGGACCGGACACCCCAAACCTTTCAACCAAACCCCGAAAGGTTCATACCGTGAACCCTCCACCCCTAAATCTTGAATATTTGAAACCTACCTTAAGCCTGAATAACCTACCTTTTTAGGGCTACTTATCATCATTTTCTTATGTTATATAGCTCCTTAAATGTAGGTTCTTCGGGGTTAAGGTAAGCCCCATACCCTATACCCCAAAGCCTAAACCCGAAACCCTAACCCGTGAGCCAAGTAAGGAACGGCTGGCGTTGCCGAAGTACCCGGCAGTGATGCACTTCCTCCAGTCTTTGACGGTTTAGGGTTGAGGGCTGCAGGGGTGGCAGCTGTGCCGTGCAGCTGTGCCGTGGGGGTGGGTGGTTGTGGGATTTATAATGGATGATAGGTCTTGTGGTTGAGGAGTTTCGGGTTTTGGGTGGTTTGCGGTTTGGGGATTCAGCGTTTACGGCCCAGGGTTTAGGATGTGCTGGAATTTGCATAGCCGGGTAGAGGGGATACTGAAGATAAGGGTACCCTTTTCCTAAAGGTTAGTTATAGTTTTAACAAGAACTTCAGGAACAAAAAGAAACCTAAACCCTTGTAACCCTAAAGCCCTGAACCTGAAAGTCTAAAACCCTCAGCACTAAACTCCATACAGTCCCTAAACCGTAAAACCCTAAACGCTGAAGCAACCCAGTTTTGCACTCTTTCAACAAGCCTTTCAGTTCACTTGCCAAGGGCAAGCACGAACCCCTAAACCCAAAACCCCTAAACCCTATACCCTAAACCCCTAAACCCTAAACCCCTAAACCCTAAACCCCTAAACCCTAAACCCCTAAACCCTAGACCCTAAACGCCTAAACTCTAACCCCTAAACCCGCTCTTGCACCCCACCGAGCCGAACCATACACCCTAACACCGCGCGCTGAGACCCAAACTCTAAACGAAAACTCAGCAGTTCGCAGTGCTTGAGGGCTGGGTTAGTTAGGGCTGCAAGGGGTTTGAGGCTTTCGGGTTTAGAGGTCAGGGTCTAGGTTCAGGGTCCAAGACTACTGGGATTGGGGCATCAGGGTCGGCTCCCTTTCAGTACTAGGTTCCCCAGTGACCAAGTGTAGTGTTAGGGAAACCCAGAATTACTTGTACGCCCGTTTGAGGTACCTAGAACTTTACTGACTAAGTCACGTGAAGCTCCAAGCTACGATAACTTACTTGGAGGGGCAGGGGACTTAGTAAGTCGTGTAGAAGCAGGGTGAAAATTGAAGTAACTCCATTTAGGGTACTTATAACTCTACTTAACCTACTTACTAAGTCCCTAAACCCTAAACCCTACTTACTAAGTCCCCGGCCCCTCCAAGTACAACTGTTCAACTCATCCGGGCGGGGGCTCACGGCTCAGGGTTCGAGTTCAGGGCTTAAGATTTGGGAGTTTCCAAAAATAGGGGACCCTAGGTAAAGTAAACGGGTTACTTTAGGGGGTACCATAAGGGTTCTTTCAAAGGGCTCTATAAGGGTTTAGAGTTTCGGGGGTTTCCGAGAATAGGGGACCCTCATCCGGTACCTTAGCCTACCAAACCCTACTTTTTTGTAGTTCTCATGATGAACCCTAAAAAAGACTTTTTTAGGGACCTAACTACAAAAAAGTAGGGTTTGGTAGGTTAGGGTAGATGGTAGGATCCTTATTGTAGGGGCCCCAAGATGAGGTACCGCCTTATCTTCGGAAACTCCCATTTAGCGTTGGGGATCGAAGGCTTAGGGATTAGGATTAAGGGCTTTGGGATTTAGGGTGTAGGGTTAAGGGTTTAGGGTTTAGGGTTTTGGGTTTTGGGATTTAGGGTGTAGGGTTTAGGGTTTAGGGTGTAGGGTTTAGGGTTTAGGGTTTTGGGTTTTGGGATTTAGGGTGTAGGGTTTAGGGTTTAGGGTGTAGGGTTTAGGGATTTAGGGTGTAGGGTTTAGGGTTTAGGGTTTTGGGTTTTGGGATTTAGGGTGTAGGGTTTAGGGTTTAGGGTTTTGGGATTTAGGGTGTAGGGTTTAGGGTTTAGGGTGTAGGGTTTAGGGTTTAGGGTTTAGGGTTTTGGGATTTAGGGTGTAGGGTTTAGGGTTTAGGGTTTTGGGTTTTGGGATTTAGGGTGTAGGGTTGGAGATTCTGCATTGCCGGCTCTTAGGCGGTTCCCACGGTACGGATGGACCGGGAACGCCTAAACGATAACTACCCATTGCCATGGCCTATGCCTATGTCAATGACGTCTTCGACACTTATTCATACAGCATCCCAGAAACCACGTCTAAGGAGCCAACGATCCTACCAGTGCACGACTGAACTGCATCCCCACATGATGAAGTCCGGCCTGATGCGGTTGTAGTCGTTCCCGCAGGAGACAACTTCAAACTTGTAGCCTGGATCCGGTATAGGTAGGGTCAGTGGCATCGACGTTCAATCACATGGCAATTGCCGACTGCATGCGTTTATCTCTTGTGATGCTACAGCCAGTATGTGCAGACGGTACTAACAACAACATCGTTAAGACGGCGACAATCTTGATGGTCAGTAATGTTCCATGTCGAAGGAACCCTCCATGTGGAGTCAACAGTTGGTGAGCTGAGTAGGGGCATAAATTGCCTAGTTGCTGTCGCGAATGCATCCACTCGGTATGGCACAGGGGCTGCCGGAGTTGGATGTTAAATGGTGTAGACCTTATGTGCTCGAACCCAAACCTATACCACAACCGCGAACTCCAAACACCATGTCGATTGCAAGTTTGCAAACAAAATCTTTGAGACGCAATTCCAAACATCTTAGCATTTTATCCTGCGGTGCCCCTAAACCCTAAACCCTAAGAGCCCTACTTGGACGATCCTGGGACCTGTAAGTCAGAGAATAGTTACCTGATTTTTGCCCTGGTTACGAAATCCCATGATTTTTGAAGTGCACCAGACTGGAACTTTTAAAGGTTACAGGTAGATGCCATAGTTTCATATAGTTTCCACACTATGTAGTTCTTACACCCTACCCCCCTCAATCGCAAGAACTCTACTCCGACCCCTCAGTTTCCGGCGATCCATGAGAGTGATCAGCTGTCTCCGCACATCCTCCAGAAGAAAGAGTACTATTTGCTTAAGAAACCACCAAAAAATAAAAATAATAATCCCTATATTACCACCATAAGGAATACATTTTTTATTTTTTGGTGGTTCTCAAGCAAATAGTAGTAAGACGTGGGTCCAGGGCACATGGGGCTTGTTTGGAATGCCCCGTACACCCTGGGTGATTCTTCATGAACAGGGAACTGCCTACCTTTGGGGGGATCCGAAATTTCGATCCACCTCCAGGTTTGCGCGACAGAAACACGCATCATGCTTGACAAACACCCTGAAGGTTGTGACAACGAGGTGACCTGCGCTGTGACAAGATCAGTCGCACAAGATGAACGATTCCCAGGATGTTGGGTAACTTTATAAGGAACCTAGGACTACAAAAAGGGAATACGGGTACTGTCAACCGACAACCTACGACCCCAGACTTGTGGTTCAACTGCCTTCTCTAACCCGTTTGCTTCAGGCTTCTCCGCTTGTGCTTCGAGGTTTGCCTACCAGACAGATCGAACTCAACCCTAAACCCTACCCCCATCAACCCTAAACTCTAAACCCTGAACCCTAAACTCTAGACCCTAAACGCTAAAACCTTACCCCATCAACCCTAAACCCTAAACTCTAAACCCTAAGCCGAAGCCCATCAACGCTGAACACTAAACAAAGGCAGACGCGAACCCGAGCCTGCGAGCGCCGCAGGGCGCGGGCCTGCCCACGGCAGTGAGGGTTCGGGGTGTGCTGTCTTGGACCGGGGTATTCTAAAGGGGCTTGTAAGGGCTACTACAAGGGATCCATGAGGGTACTATAATACAGGGGCCGTAATAATTAGAATAAGGCTTTGGGGCCCAGTATACTATTTTGTTTGTACGGAGCCAGAAAATAGTGTAGGTCAGTATTAAGGCCCCCTATATTACTTGGAGGGGCGAGGACTTTGTAAGTCGCTTATGATTTAGGTACTTGTAACTCTACCTACTTACTAAGTCCCCTGCCCCTCCGAGTACGGCTTAGACATTTCAAGAGGAGCCATCCCTCGTATCAGGGTTTAGGGTTCATGTTATAGGATTTTTGCGGTTCGGAGACTGGGGTGTGCCAACTCGTAGGGCATGGAGCTGTTTTGACATCGCGGAACAACAAATGTCGGAGGTCACAGTGGTAATTGTCATCTTAAGACAACCAGTGGATGGTTCGAACAGACGTTTAGCTTGGTACTAGTTGGCCAGCAGTAACACGGTACTGCTTGCCTGTTGAGGAGCAGGGTGTTTGCTCTTACAAACGCTTAAGTCGGTGTGATTACACGGCGGCTGTGGCCGCCAGCCCAGAACTAAACACCCTTGGCCCCGTTCGAGGCTTGACGCCCTGAGAAATTTGCCGAGATGAAGCCTCTCACTGCTTGTTACGGACTCGAAGGTTTGGTATGGCATCCACACTGACTTGCGAATGCGAAACAGCTGTAACACATGCACCGCGGAATTAACAAAGCCCTCTACATCAAGCCTGGATAAAGTTCTCGTAGCACCACGGATTCGAAAAGCGGTGGTGCGCCTGAGAGCTTCGGTTGCACCAGGCTTAAGTTTGGCTTAAACCACAAACCCCAACTCCTAAACCCTAAACCCTAACACTAAGCCCTAAAACCCTAAACCCTAAACCCCTAAACCCTGAACCCCTAAAGCCTAATTCGGAGGTGGTGTAGGGATTCAGGCTCCGAGCTTTGCTAGGTGGGGCCATAAAAGTCTTTGGAAAGTATGAATAAATAAGATCCTCGTAAGCCCAATAAGATCCCTACCTAGACTAGGTTTCCCAGTGTCCACTTCAAAATGAGAGCGCCCTTGCTCCTGTTTTTTCAATTTCACCAAGGGGGCCCTACAACAAAAATGGTACTACTGGGGAAGCTAGGTTTGCGTGTTTAGAGGCTAGGCTCTAAGGGCTCGGCTCTTGGCTCTCCGCTCGAGACTTTCTTGCGGTTTAGGGTTTACGGTTTTAGGATGTTTTAGGGCAGCTCCGAATCGAGCAGTCTCTAGTCGAGCTCGCCAGCTCGACTTCGAAAAATACCCATCCACTCGGAGAATCCCAAAGCATTAAGAAATAAAAGCTGCATCATTACATACACCTTAGTGCTACACTTTCCACTCCAAATGAACACCTTTTGCCTTCTTACACAACAATCGAAGGACCCGCGATGTATTCATTCACTCCGTAGTCAGATCACCGGAGACGT